GAGAGAGGAGAAGATTGGCTATAAATTGGTGCAATTCTACCAGCCCACTCCCAAACATTACTGAACTGCATGATAGGCAGTTTGTCCGAGATCGTATTAGAATCCACAACACTATTTATATAGCACTAATGGGTCAATTGTACTGTAACACACATTAGTGACTATCATACCAATTTATGTATATTTATTTGGAAGGAGGCTGAGTCTTATAGATCCAACTTAAATCTAAACCGTGTTTACTTTAACTTTTACGCATATTATTAAAATCTTAATCCTTTCAGTAATGCCTGCTAGCATTCTTTCACAATCATTTAAAGTTCTTTTGGCACTCAACCGATAACACCATCTCAGGCATTCACCACCAAATATGGTGACCAATTGTTTTAACTATAATACCAAACAAATTATATGCATTAGAACAAAGTTATGAATTGTATATCTCATTCCTTTTGAGCAAACATGCTTGACCTCCTTTAAGACTTATCATGACAGGGCTAAGTACATTTAATAATTAAATTCGTAAGGAATGTGATGATGACTACTTTGTCAATCTGCGTCATGACTTTCCATGTTCTGACCAATCTAAAGTCAGTTGAAATGTGTAAAAGAGAGGCACAAGTTAAGCAAGGCTGTAGCAGCCTAAGGGGAAGTCAGTGAATGGCAGTTCCTCTTACAACAGTACTAGTGCTGCTGTAGGCTGTTCTTAAAATGGAAACGTTGTGACGTTAATAAGAAAGCATCAGCTAAACAGGAAATACAATACAATAGAGACAGATGATTAGGCAATCAGGACAGGATGAGTTCCAAAAGTGTTCCATTACATTCCAGATTATTATAAACAATGTGAATATATCAGACATTGATGACTTCATCTCAAATGTTAAGCTACTGCATACCATCTAGACCAATCCCAATAAAAAAATCCAAAATGTTTCAGATAGCTCTTCAGCTTACCTAATTGGGAAGGTTTGAGCATGTGTCTGGCTGTATAGGCATCTTTTGGTCAATCATCAGAAAATCAAAGGCAATTGGCATAACTCAACTGAAACTTTAATGCTGCATGATTGTGTCGCGTAAGCTCGTTTTCTGCAAGGGGCATTGCAGTTTAGCAGAGAGATTAACGACAGGACCAAAAGTTGGCCTCCAAACCTTGCCCTGCTGATGCCTCAAGCCCTTTGAAGTCTGACCACCATACCTGGCAAAGCAACAGTGGGAACTAGGCTGGTGTCAGCTCTAATCACATTGCTTGCCTCAGCATGGTTAACTACAGGGTGCACTAATTGGCCCAATTGCGGATTATACCTTTTGCTACAGATTCAAGACAATAATTTAGTCAAATGATGGTTTTTATCTCCTCCTAATTAAGATTCCAAAGTGGAAAGAAATAGGATTAGACAGGCAGACTTTTTTTTGTATTTTTTCCTAGTCTTTTAATGCTCTATTCATTTAAGTAAGTCTACTTCAATATTTTTACCCTCATTTTGATAAACTTCCAACAACTTTACTGCCATCTGGCAAATATATTACTAGCAGAATCCTTTAATACACTTTTATCGTTATCAAACCATCCACCTGCAACAGAAACTTGTAAAATAAACTGGCTGATACAACTGTCTTATAAAATTGTACAACACAAGCTTGTTACCAGAAGGCCCGGTTATTGAGTAGCGGGTCTGCAGTGTTTGTGATGGAATGTGCAAGAAGAGGTAATGAAGAGGTCTTCAGAGCCAAATTGTCATCTTTCCTGCAAGTTCTGTGCTGTTACTTGGAATCCGCTTTACATTTCACGAAAATATGAGCTTTCAGTATTCAAATTAAAGACTACCCAATAATTTCACAAAGAACTCCATATGTAAATAAATTATACTTGAAGATTCAGCTCCAAATTTTATTATTCAGCTCTAAATATTATTCAGGCACTGACTGCATTCAATTATGTTATCTGATCATTTTCATGCTTCTTTTGTGGCAGCTTGCTGTGTACAAACTGGCTGTTTATACACTTTTACAGTGACTACAACCTAGAAGTTGTTAATTGGTTCTAAAGCACTTCAGGATGTCTTAAGGTTGTGAATGGCACTACTGAAATGCATATCTTGTAAATCATTTGACACTTTTGGACTATGTTGTAGAGAACTGAGTAAAGAAGTCTTCTTAAAACATCGGCATTTCCTTCCTCATTTCAGATACTGACAGACTTGCTGCCCATTTTGAATGTTTTGTGCTTTGATTTTTTTTGACAAAACAATTTTCTTTTCAAAAACCTTGATGTGCATTTAGCCACTTTTAGGTTTACATTTTGTCGATTTGAACAAGACCACCAAGAGTCCCTTCTGATGTCATGTAACACAAATAACCAGATTGAGGAAAGGTAAAGGACAATTATAAATTTCAGGGTATTATCATTGTGAATACAGATTCTGTTGCTGAAGTTTACACTTTTTCATAAATCAATAATTTTCTTTCAGTGCTTTTACAAAGCTTTAAATTTATATGATTACTGAGTATATCACGAAACTGTATACTACGAAACTGCATTTTTGTCAGTTTAGTAAATGGCTCTGCCATTTGGTTTTGTTTTATATATAATGCAAATGAATGAATACAACATTCTTTCAAGAATTCTGTTGAATTTGACATCCTCAAATGTTTTCTTCCTCTTCCAGTGAGCATTGGAATGGAACGATACTTTCTGGTTATTCTTCGTCAATCTGTTCATAAATGTAATGATACCTCTCTGGGACAGGTGGGACTTGCACCTGCACCTTCTGGTCCAGAGACAGGGACATTAAGTATATTTTTTTATACTGAGAGTAAAATTTCCCCATCAATTCAGAGAAGGGGTTTTGGGGTTGCGGGGGGGAAAACGCGATGGTGTCCGGGGAGGGGCAACATGTTTGTAATGTGCAAAACTCCAGGTTATCACTGGAGGAAGACCATCAACAATTCAGCTGCACGCTTTATGTGAGCAGCAGGCAGTGAAATTTATTCTGCCAAATTTGGTTCTGGTGACACCAAAAGATACTGAGACAATCGCACAATTGCTGGTCATGAGAAAACAGCCTGCCTCGGAATAAATTTTGCTGGGCATCAAGCTGACAATCAGGATCCTGCATTTTCCACAACCACAAATCCGAATGAACTAACAGCAGCAGCTCTTGTACTTTAACAGAGTAACCACTTAAAAATATATAGTGAATGTAACAAACAATTGAAAAGCACACACGTGATTTGAACACTTACCTGCAAAGATAATCAAAAATATAGCAGAGAAATGCAAGTGACAATTTAAACAGTTAATTTATGCACAGTACCAAACAACGAATAGGAAAAAAAAGGAAAGGATCTTATATTTTTTCAAAGAGTGTGAAATAGATACTTGTTTGATTCAATTTTTGACAAAAAAATTCCGTTACAGTGGCTCCTTAACAAGGAGTCAGAGGGCTATTTCTAACAACACTGCTTGCTTTCATGACTTCTACATGTGGTGTTAAGTGGGTATTACAGGGAAGCAACCCAATCAAGACATCTACAATCTACAACACTGCTCCCCGGATGACCCAATCGAACAATTGGCTGCCTGATTAACTATTAACAGCTCTTAATGTGATTAAATAATGAAAGCCACTGATGACCATTAATTAGGAGGAGGGCATTGTAATTGTCACTGGACTGAGTCTGATTCATAGGTTTTCTTCTGAAGGATATGGCAGGATGGGAGTGGGGGGATGGTGGGTAGGTAGGGAAGCAAGACAGCAAAACTGAAGAATAAAGGAGGATGATGACAACAGTTGCCTTATCAAGTAGCCAGTTAAGAGGCCAGAGGGTCAATGAAGGGCCACAGTGGTCACTCCAGGGTGAAGTACCAAATACCAAAGCGATGCCAACCCAAATTGACCAGCAGCTAGTGAATAAGGCAAAATATGCTAATTTATTTGTGCTCAATTCTCTTGTAGAAGCTGAAATAGCCAAGACAAGTGGCCTGCTTAAATGCTTTCCACTTGACAGGAGATTAAATAATATGGTTTGTCAGGTCTGCCCACTTATTTTATCTCCAGTGAAGACACTACACAAGGACGGGAGAAGAAATAATTATCACATCACAAAAAGCCACTCCTCAAATATGCATTCACCTTTTCATGCTTAGATAATTAATACTTCAGCCTTAATTGGTTAACAGTTGTATTCATTTGCTATTTAGTATTAGTGGGGAAAAAAAGAGAATAGATTCAATTCAGTCCCAACACATCAGGATTATAAACACTACCAACATTTCAGGTCAATGGAAAAGTTTAAATCCGGTTGCATGTTGGAATTAACCTTTGTAACCATCTTTTTAAACTCCCAAGCCAGCTACGTTTGCTTGATAAATATGAAGAAAATGATTGTAGCAATGGCATTTATTATTGCTATGACATTAGCTACAGAAAATGTGTTCAGTATTTTATAACTGATTTTCAATTAGCTTCCAGATACATGTTAAATTATTTTCGGAACACGAATTAATGTGTTAGCTGATGCAAGCCAGCTATCACCAACATTAACCGTTCACTACAATTTGGAACAATGCAAGATTTCTGCTACATCTATCCAGAATAACATATAGTTGGGACTTTAAATGATTTAAATCACAATGGTTCAATAAGTTAAATTATATTTTATTAACAAGATATTTGATTAATTTAGAACCATGGCAGCACAGATAGAATAAACAACCAAAGCTGATCTAAGCAATTAATTTGGTAAAAACACATAATACATCTTTGCCTTAAGATATATTTGGAATAGTTACAAACTGACCACAAATATAAAATGTAACAACTAGCTTCTCTGTCCTCCCCAAACCCCAAATACTTTCAGAGGCAAAAATGAGATGATGATAGCTTACATGAAAATATCCTATTTCACATTCAAATCTGAGAAATAGTGACTTGCTAAACAACATCTTATTGCACTATTAAATGGAATGAGCTTAAACATCAAACTTCAATGTTTCTTACCTCAATAGTGAACAATTTTCGTTTCAGTTTGAAAGCAAGATCCTTTGTATCAGGCACTTCACAGAATAAACTATTAAGTCGAGGAATCTGACGAACATGGAGCAAACCTTAAGAAAAATTAAATTAGAAAATAAAACATGCAGATGCATAAATTAAACAAGCTGACAGAAGAACACTCCACATTTACATTCCTCACTGTCCCTTTTTAAACCACCAGATCGCCACCAGAAGCAATGAAGCAAACAGTGTGATTATGTTCAAGTAATCAAGCAGAATAAGATAAACAAAAATCCTTGTCCAAGTAAAACTAATTACATTTAGATACAGACATGGAGATATAAACAAAGAGGATTCTGATGCTTGTCAAAACGGAGGCCCATTTGTGATATTTTCCCTTGTATTTACAGTAAGCAAATGTGGCTATCACCTTGCTTGCTGCCCAAAAGTATTGCTGAATGATCTTTATTTTATTAAATGCACCAGTAAGCATCCATGAAAACATGGCTTATAGGTTGGAGAATTTGACTACAATTTTGATTTTAAAAGATGTATTTTGAAGTTTCAGTCATTTAACAAGTTGATACACGCTATTAACGTAAACAGCCCTTCAGATGAGCAGAAAACTCAGGCTGGGTGTGTGAAACAAATGAATAATTGCAAATGAAGCTCGTTTATGATGGTTAGGAACTGGTACATGCACGTGAGGTCTGCTTTTAGCTTCGAGCAGTGTGAGCTCAAAGCTAAGCTGATCTTTTGTGACAGGAACATTGGCTGAGTTGGTGCAGTCTCGTCATGGTTAAGGGAATTGGTGAGCTCACTGGCCGAGTGGCTGCCTGGCTTCCTCTGCATGAGTATTCCCAAAAGCCTGCCTACAAAGATGCACATCTGATTGAGCACTGTCTTGATAATTTGGCTTGACAACATGTGAGTAGTTGCCATGTTACTTTCACAGTCCTAATGCACAGTAAAAGATAAACAGCCTGACCAATAGATTGCTATATTGGGAGACAGTTGAAATGCAGACTCTGAAATGAAATCAATTACAACCTTATGGCAGACAAACTAATTAGAGGGCAAACTGCTAAATATCTATAAGTCACTTGGGGTACTTTGGTCATGATTAGGCTTACCGTGATAGTCCTTATAGAGTGGATTGCTTTCTCTTTCAGAAACATTAAATGATTCAAGACCAATCACTGTGTCTGACAATTTTACCACACGACCTGTAATTGCTTTGTTCTGAAAAGAAGAGGAAAATAGCTTATAATAGCTTTTTCAAAAAAAAGAGTCCGAGTAAAGCAACAGAATAAACATGGGATTTTAGCACAGTATATAAATTAAACCTTAAAAATAGTATCATTGCTCTAAAAGAAAGTAACCAAATTAACATTAAAAATATATTTCTCAAGGAAAAATATTTCACTAAAATTTAATTGTGATATCAATTTATTTTTATTTTCTTAAATTTTTCTAATTTTTTTGCAGACCAATTAAACAGTTTAAGGGCTATCATTTTTAATTTAGATGCTGCAATGATGCTAAAAATTTTCTCTTTGATATTAGTTATCTTTGCACTGCTTGCTTCTAAAGAATTTTTATGAACTGTGTAACATTTTTGTATATGTTAAATCTTCTGCTGTGCACTAATTATAAACTGAAAATGCTTCAAGATGTAGAACCTGCAACAGCATTGCCATTTTAGTTTCTTGATATGTTTTAATAAGAGGCAGTGAAACATTATTGTATCCTGAAATAAATTATTACAGTTTGGGATGGATTAAGAGAAATAGCTGCATTAGATGGAAAGAATTAAATCGTACTAGTGGATCCCGCTGTGGTATCTCTCACCGAAAACAAAATTCTATGCAAAGGCATCATAAATTTCTTTATCCATATCTCCTCCATGTTGGTTTCTTGTCTCTTTTGCTTTATTTTGTGCTGTCTTTCTATCTAGAGAGATTGCTTGTATTTTTGATTATTTTGCATTCCATTTTTAATTTTGCTAAATGTTTCTCGATTCTTATGCTATCTCCATTAATTTCGCTTCTTCACTGTTTGCTATCTTTTATATTTTGTTTGAGAATTAATTGATTTTCAATGAAGGACTTGTGAGCTTTTGTTGGCCTAGCTTATAGGGGATGAAGCAGTATTGGACATGGTATTGCTGAGGCTGGGCTAGAGGCAGCAGTGATGGCAATCAGCACTGAGATGCCTCATGCGCAAAAAATATTAGGAAGCAAAGCCCAGCTGAAGGGTGAGAGTTCCAAGAATAGAGCAGAAGGCAAGCTCAATGTTCCCATGAGAGAAGAAGCCTGTACAGGAGAAAGATGTTTGAGGTATTAAGAGATGGGTATGCATTAGGTAAATTTACAAAAGGAACAATAATTATGAAGAGTTATAATAATCTCTGGATTTGTGACTTTTTTCCATAAATGTTATTAAAACCAAAGAGGATAATGCAATAGTCTTATTCAATAATTGTATTGTGCCAGTTCATGTGGTTAGTAACTTCTTTCAGGATTTTAAATTATTTCATTTGTAGATAAATATTTATTGGTCAAACCCATTTTGGCCTTTTTTTTTTACTCAGTTTCGTAATCATGCTGTTGTATTATTTATGTAACATAGATACAAGTCTTAGCACATTCTGGAAACAATGTATTTTTGTCAAATTTTAAGTGGTTTCCTGGATGACTCTTTATTCTGTTTCATGTTAAAAGAACTGGAAATAACCACAAAATGTTGCATAATATTGCAGAGGGAATTCAGTGTTTCAAAAGTTAGACAAAATTATTCCAGGTGTTAAAACAAAATTACATTTTTAATGTGTGATGTCATTGACGAAAGTACAGTAAGCAACCAATGAATATTCAGGGTGCTGCATAAGTACTGAAAACATTTTAACAGCAAAAACATTGTACTTAGTTGCATTTATATAATAAATCCACAGGTAATTACATAATGATGCAGTAAAGGGAAAACATCTCATTGTGGAGATATATGAATCAGATGATACTCCTCTGTTTTGCAGGCATTTTGCAGACTTACACTTTCACAATCATGGAGACAATGTATTCACCATCAACATTCTATGCATTTAGAGTAATTTCATAATGTCAGTTTCTCTTGAATCAATGGAAGCACGTTTAGTATATTATTAATGACTCTAAAAACAGTCTGTTAAAAGTCACATTCATTTTTGTTTCACATCATCAAAATCTGCTAAATGAATTAGTCTTGACTCCCTCCAGAATATCCATTATTTTCAACATAATAATCAACAGTAGCTGATTTGGTTCATTGTCACTATGTTTGGGTTGTGTACAAGTTCATCTTCTCTGGATGATGTTATCAAACTATGTGAAATGAGTTAAAATTAAAGCAGGGCATGATCACAACTTCAATTTAATGCCACCCGTTCCTTATGCTACTAATATTCTATAAAATACACAGTGAGTTACTGTCAACGTGCCACCATAAATAGCGTGACTGTACATGCAATCTAAATGTAGTGAAAATCAATCATTTAAATCCTATAAACTCAAGACTTTAAAATAAAGCAGAGAAGTAAAGGCAGAAATGAAAATATTCTCATTAATATAGACAAATAAAGACACATAAGCTGTTTGAAATTTTAGAGGCAATAAGAACAGCTGACTCCTGTAATGAAGGTGCTGGCTACAGATACTGAAACTTCCAAATGAGCTTACGCTAATCCTGTACCAAGTGTCCGCACATTGATGGGAGAAAAATTATAGCCTGTCATCAGAAGCAGACAGGCAGGCCTAGGTCCAGATGGAAGACTGGCTGGGAGAGGGGGCAGGTGGGAAGAATGACGGGAATGTAATGGTAGACAGAAGACTACTCCCTCTGCTGGCCAGACTTGTTATTATTTCAGCGTTTCAGAATTTTTATCCATTTTGAAGAATTATGTTTGATGGCTTTTTAAATAATTAACTAATTACCTCACAGCGATCACCCCGACAAACTGTTTAAATCTTTCTTTTAAGGTTTCCAAACGCAAATAGCCCTTTGCCATACTGAAATATCCACTCCAGTCCTTCAATGAAGCTCACACTTAAGTCAATGTTCTGTTTCCAGGGACTAATTACCAACAATATGTGAAATGATGAAGTTGCTATTAATTAAGTTAAAAAGGGCATTAATACCACCATGTTACTCATTCACTACTTTCTAAATAAATCATTTCATCTCTGCACAAGAATTCTTTAAGTAATATGTTATTATCCACGATGATTTATACCAATTCAGTGATGAGCATGATAATTAAGACATCTAAGTCAGCCGAATGTGAAAACTAATAATACACAGACGTGACAGTAATGCAAGTTTTCTGTATTTTGATGGATACAAAGAGCATATTGGACACAGGAAAAATACAAGTGAGTGTTCTTAATTACAGTTACTATGAAGCATTTCTTCATTTTTTTTCCCCAGAAGCAGCCTTTTGTTGCCCCTCCTTTGCTTGCCAGGTTATTAGGGCTACCAGTGCCTTCTGTTACAGGATCTAACCGCACTTCTGTTTCATGAGATTTTGGCCTTAAACCAGCATCTCCCAGAGCAGGAGGGATCAGCTTTTTCCCCACTGTTTTCATATAAAGCCTGGCTTCAAAGTTACTCCAGCTCCTTGCTTTCCAGAAGGTTCCATCCCAGGAACTCTCGCCTGCCATTTGGTTTGCTTTCTCATCTCAAAGGAATTGGCTTGCAGTGTTTCCCTATGCTGAACTGGCATTTGCTCTACGGAGTGAGTTATTATTAAACTTTTAGGTCAATTGTGGCACTAACAACTCTTCTGAAGCTTTCAGCCACACTGTACAATTTGCCTGCTAATTAAATATTAATATAAAGTGGTGCATTTGTGGATAAGAGCTTTTATGTTCCTTCTTCTCTTTCAGATGTGGGTAAAAGGATCCAAAGCACATTTGAGTAGTTCTATTTTGCAAAGCACATTTCTGCCAGTGAAACAAGCCACATGCTGAGATATTTTTATAGTGAAAATACTAATCTATGCAGGTTGAAAGAAAGATGTACAACAAAGACAAAATAAACTAACTTTTCATCCAGGCAACATTCAACATCTCTAGTGATTTACGGTTAGACAAATATGCAGGATAATCTATGATCACATCCAGAAAGTGACTTTCAGATAATTACAAGAAAGAGAAAAAAAGTGTGTTCAATGTTTTGACCTGTATCCTGAATCAGATCAGGTGGAATTTAAGGGGGACCTAATTTCCTGGATGTGCTGCTGGTGGAAAGAACATATTAACTCCTGAAGTACTGAAATGTATATGGAGACACTCAGCTTAAATCCCTCCAAAAACTGCCCAAAGAAGAATTACATTTTGTAATATTTATTTATAAACACCGCTTCTGCATCTTTAAACAGGGCAAATCCAGAGGTTTCTCCTTCCCTTTTTGTGTACGTAACAGTTGTACCAACGGCTTGGATAATAGGAAATCTGCAGATTGAGTGACATAGAAGCCAAAGATTCCATATGCCTGAACAGATGACTCTATTCCCACACCATGATGAGAAGTTGACTGATTTGGGCTTACATCATTTAGCTGTAGACTTAGAAACACCAGGTTTGGTTTCCAACATGATTTGTTCAAATCTTGTCTCATTTTTGTGCATTTCAACAAATTCAAAAATGGCACTTCACAATGAGTTAGCTTATGTTATTCAGATTTAAAGTGCCTCCAATCTTTGCACATTTGAACTATATTACACATTGTCTAATCTTTTAATAACAGCTGTAAGGCAGGATTAGATCACAGTAAATTAGCAGAAAAACATTTTATTTATTATGCGTAGCAAGCACTATATAGTAGCATTTATATTTTGTTCTAAATGATTGAATGTCACAGCAGACAGAAGTTCAAAATAACTGCAGACAAACCTACTCCTTTATAGATAATGATTACCACATGCTGTATAGAAAATGGACTTATGTTAAGATTCCATCATAACAGTGCAACAGGCCAAGTACTATGTACTACCTAGCCTAAAGAACTATTTAACTGAGCACCTTTCTTAATGATCAGATACAACAGACAAGATATTTGACTCAAAACCAACACTGTGAGGTCAGCGTATGCCCATTAGGTTCCAGAAGTGCGATAAATATGAAATAAATACCTTACCTAACACTGCATAGAATAAATACCTCATGTATCAAGTAAAAATAGTAGTATCCAGTGAACTCTATGCGCCT